AAGTTTTTCATTTAAGTGATCATCGCCTTTCAAACGAAAACAGACCAGACCGAGCTGAAATAAAATACACGTACAGCTTTATAAATACAAGTATCGTTAGATTAATTTTGTAAAACCTCGGTGTACGTTTCCTTTCCGCTTGATTTTGTGCAGTTAATAAATCATTTGTGACAGATGTGTAACATCGAAGGACACTATTATTATGTAGTAGCTGTTTCAGTATGAGTTTTATTATTATGAATGAACTTTTTAACATTTTCTGCGACCTTTTCATTCCAAAGACAATAAAAAGTAATTAACGTATTTCAAGTATCCGAACGTAGTAGATACACTTATTATATGAAACACATTAAAATTCCTAGAAGTTAATTTTAAATATTCATTTGAAAATTCATTCTTAATTTTTTCCCTTCTATAAATTACCTCAAATTAATGAGAAAATTATTTTTGTTACTGCTGTCATACAATTAAATTCTAATGCGTAAAAATTATCTCTTTGAAACAATGTGCGATATTTTTTATTTCAGTTCGACTTATTTAAAAAAGTAATTATTGCGTGTTAAAAAAAGTTTAATTTAGATCTGTAATAATGTTCTGCAAAGAAGATATNTACAATTAAATTCTAATGCGTAAAAATTATCTCTTTGAAACAATGTGCGATATTTTTTATTTCAGTTCGACTTATTTAAAAAAGTAATTATTGCGTGTTAAAAAAAGTTTAATTTAGATCTGTAATAATGTTCTGCAAAGAAGATATCTTGCAAACTTACCTGGCCATCGCAAAAACAAATACTTTAAGTTTATAAAAATAGAACAGGTCAATTTATTTTATTTGGAACAGTTCGATCTATTTGAACGAAATCAGATTTACGAAGAAGGTGGGCTAAAATAGAATCCAAAGGACTGTTATAGTACAACTTCTTGCCACACAATCTGTGGCTGGCTTTTTAAAATTGCCCTGCGTAACTTAAGATGCAGCTAGGTATTAATTTGTATAGAAAACTGAATTTTTGTGCAAGTTGTGGTTGAAAGTAGTAGTAGATCAGGAAATTCAAAAGAAAATAAATGTTTTTTTTTCGATTTTGCTCAAGGTGTATTTTTAAAGAAAAGGTGATTGAAACCCAAACATTTCCCATTTTCTACAGTGCCGTGACCCGCTACAATTTCTTTATAAAGAAAACAGTGAAGGAATTCAATAGAACAGGAATAACAAATCAATAATATTTGATACTTCTTTGCCTTTTACTAAAACATTTATTTCGGCTTGTTGTCCTGTTTAGCACTCGACGAATGACTGCCATCATTTCCTGATCCTGATTGGTCCAAATGAGGAACACTAAAAACAAAATCGTTTCAACTTGACCCTTTTTACACCGAAACTCGTTTTACCCTTCTTCTTCAGTCCCTCTAATTAAATAGGCTAATGGCCAACTTATCCTAGATGAACTCCTACAATTAAAATAAACAAAAAAATTGTAAATAGTTTTTAGGATTATAAGCAGATACTGTGTTACCTAAAATTAAAGTAAAAGTTATGCGATTTTTATTTTACTTACCGCAATGGTTGCATTGGGTTATTTTCAGAACCTGTTATTGCATGGGGCTTTCTTCCAACTGAAGGGTTGTAAAATTTAGAATCGCTGACCATGCGCACAAAAGAAGAACGCATAAAAGCAGAACGTTTTCGCCTTCTACCGTCAGAAATTTCCTAAAATGTGTAATGGAATAATAGAACAAGAAAAACCTGATCGTTTGAACTTGTCGGATAATTTTTAATCCATTTTAAAAAGAAAATAGTATATTAGTATACAGGTAGTTACCTCTTCATTTTCTTTAGCTTCCAATAAACTAGAAGCAAATTCTTTTATAATTTCCCATGCGTACTCTGAAAGAGATTAAATTAAGATCTTCAAATTTATTGGCTAATAAATTTCATCGTTTATGAATTTATAAAACCGTTACGACTTTCCAACACATTTACCAAACTTCAATTAATAAACAGAAAATACGTTAGTTAATATACGGTACGCTCGATTAAGGAATGTGCATCATTGAGATTATTACAGTTGTTTGAAGTGAAACTTCTTTACGCACGGTAGGTTAAGTTCGTTTCATGCGAGTTGCTATGTAACGAAATCGTGCAACGGATGTCCTCGCTCTACTCGGTCACGTAGTGGAGTTCGTAGTGGGGATCGCTTGAGCCGTGAGTGCGCTTAAATGCAACGTTCGTTACAGGCAACTCCGGCATGTATAGTGTAAAATTTAAATTCATAGTGTACAAATAATACCACTAAACCAATTTCTTAACCCCTATCCCGGTATGTTTGTGTGTTTGAAGAAGTTTCACTTCAGTAGCGTGTTGTATAATTGCACGTTGTAATTTTTTTTAAACGGTTGTGTATTCGAAAAAATTAAAATGTTACGAAACTTTATACATTATTTAATCAAAAATTTCTTTTTGAACTTGTACTCTTTTTGATACGTTTAGAGTAATACTTTAGTAAGAGACGGAAGTTTCGCGTAAAACATGAACCTTCAACGGAAGTTAGGTAATAGTCATGTAACAAACTGTTAAAGGCTTTCGCGGCCGGTTGGTGAATTGATGTTGTCGTGACTGGGGTCTAAAGGTCGTCTTCGGTTGGATATTCGAGTTTACATCCAGCATTACGGCCCCTAGACCCGAATCAGCGCGGTCTATAGAAATAGGGTATACGTATTTTTAATAGGCTCATTTCCCGCCCGGTAATATCGAGAAATTGACAACAAGGTTTAATTGAATATCATTAGAAGTGGAGCACATAAAAAACTTATTTTTTACCAATATCTTCATCAGTTGCATTTGGTGCCGTAACACAAAATCTGATGACATATTTGTGGCGAACCAACGCTGGGACCATATGAAGTTTTCCCGAAGCGTTTATATTGCTAAGAAGTTTTTCATTTAAGTGATCATCGCCTTTCAAACGAAAACAGACCAGACCGAGCTGAAATAAAATACACGTACAGCTTTATAAATACAAGTATCTAAATCTATTTTTCAAAATTGCGAAAACACATTGACTTAATATAAATTACAATATTGTTATTACAATTTGTCTGAAAATTATTCACTCTTGTTTGATTTTTCGGATTTGCCTACCAAAAAAAGGAGAAAAGGAAAAACGCAGTCTTTATTTCTCTTACCTTAACATCATTACAAATTTCGAACCGCTTATCGTGCTTAACCATATGTTCGAACTTTTTGGCCAAGCGAATATGGTGTCGAATGTAATTTCTCAGACCAGATAAACCACAGCATCTCATAACGAACCAAAGTTTCAATGAGCGAAATCGTCTACTGAGGGGAATCCCCCAGTGTCGATGATCGATTGCAGCATCACTGTAACCGTGTTGTAAATACAAAGGGTCGACTATGAAGGCCGAAGTAAGTCGATTTCTGTCTTTAACCCACATGGTAGAACAATCAAAAGCTACCGTCAACCACTTGTTGGGGTTTGTATTAAAAGAATCGGCATATTCGACTCCTAGATGACAATAAAGTTAGGAAATAGAAAAAGAATCTGTACTTAGAAAGATTGACCAGTAGGTACCTTTAAGAAAACGCCTGAGTTCTGGGCAGATAAATGAATTTCCTGCGTAAGCCGCATCGACATGGAGCCACACTGAGGGGAATTTTTTGCAAACGGGTCCTATTTCAGAAAGATTATCGAACGAACAACAAGATGTTGTTCCAAGAGTGGTTGAAACGAAAAAAGGTACCAAACCCATTGTTTTGTCTTCTTCCATTGCCTTAAGCACAGTGAAAACATTGAAAACTGATAAAAATCTCTAACCCAAAACATTTCTAGCGTACCATTTGCAAAGTTTGTCCCCTAAGCGACGATTTTTCATCGGGCTCCAAAATTCTCAGTTTTACAAAACATAACATTGCAGCTTTTTCAACACAAGAGTGAGCTTCTGTTGAACAGTAAGCCATCAATTTGGACAGTAGTGTCCCCTCTTCTACAAGGGGGTGCCGCTGTTTCAAGCGTTTTATAGCATGGGTCCTTGCTGCTAACATACATACGAATACACAATCACTGGCGGAACCCTTAAATAAGAGACAACTTAATTTTTACAATCAAAACCTTGCTTTCTTTTCATGGTTTACCTGCATAACACCTCCACCCTTACTGTCTTCACTCAATGTTAAAAATTCGTCCGGTAAACCTATTGCCTTTCCTAAAATTAAAGCGTTCCAAAAATGAGCATAAACTTATTAAAATGTATTGAAGCTCTTTCTTTTTGTAAATCTTACCAAACCAGTCAAGGACAATTTTTTCCAGTTCGGTACAGGCAGGACTTGCGGCCTAAAAGAAATACATACACATAAAAAATTAGTAAGGTAGCAAAAAAAACTTAGCAACAAATTTCTAAAAACAAATGTATACAGCTTAAAAAGCGATTTATTTACCCAGGTAAATCCCATACAAGNTATGAAGGTTAGACAAAAGGACAGATTTCTGACATTTCCAATATTTTCCTTTTGATGCAATTGACATCATTTTTAAAATGACGGAACATTCATACACAAGAATGCACGATTTGATAGTCGGTACACCTAATAATCAACGTAAGGTCAATAGGCATAGGCAGGCGTGGGTGAACTTCGAATTCTACTAGTTGCAAGTCACTGAACTAAAACGCTATAATCCTTTTTTGGGAGTTTCTACATTTAGACACTATGACTAAATTTCGCAATAATAATGTACCGTTAGGTCAAATCAAAACTCCTAAGAATTAATCAAAGTAGACGAGTCATACATATAACACATACATACGTTCATTCAGCTAATTTTTGTCTTTGTATTCCTGTTACAGATTATGTCGAAAACTTTCGTACTTGATTAGATTTTAAGATAGAAATATTCAGCGTTGTTCTTCGGAAACTGTATTGAAAAGATCATCCAAATCTACTTAATTTTCCCGATACACCTGACGTTAGTCCTTATTTTAATACTGTAACATCAATCCATGCAGACCCTCTTAAATTTGATTAACTAACTCCTGAGTTTTATTGGTTTTTTTATATTTTATTACAGACTTGAAGAAGCGAACTTCATGGCGCTCGAAATCCGACGAGATCGACAATAAAACGTATAATAACTATTAATCATCGTCAAAATTTAAAATGCGATTTATTTTTAGACAAAAAACTGTTTTCATTTTTTATTACCGTGGGTAGTGATCACGTTCAAACATACCTTAAACAATCAAAGCTAACTATTTAAACGTGTCAAAACACATGTTGTAGTTCTTGAATTTTATAGTAACATACAACAGACTTAGACTTTCACTTATTTTATATTATAGATAAATTATATTATTCAATAATCTTATGACATTGATTTTTTCCGTGTGTAATAACTTGTATTTTTTTTGTATTGTACATATTTTTTAAAACAAATTAGCGTTGTAAATATCAATTAGAAGTCGATGAGTTAACATTAGATTGAGAATAAGTTAAATGCGTGTAGTTATAAAATCAATTGAAATTTCACACGCCATTCTATGTTTTCAGTAAAAGGAAATCAATGACGTTGTTTCATGTTTTAATCCTAGTTTGAGATGCCTCTTAATCAGCACACAATTATTTAACATTTTATGCATTGTCACTTGCTTTTTTCCTAGAAATAGATTGATCCCTAATAACGGGAAACTTTGTTAACTAGTAGCTCAAGTTAGAAGATTGTTTGAAAATGATCTTCTCAAAA